ATCCAGTTACACTACCATAGGTACCTCAAAAATCTTCAAAGTTCTTTAAAAAGCAGATTTTAATGTGCTGTGCTCTTTATCATGGATGAATTTTATTTCTAATTAATACAAACATTTAAAAAGAGAAAAATACCTTTTGCTCATTACAGATTTCATAAAATTAATATAACCTAATTTAGAAGTGTCATTTGTGATGGTAGTTTCAACAGAATAGGGATTTGCATCTAACATTAGATCCAAACTCTGGTATATAGGAAAAAAATCTTTCCCAACGTGATCTTATTTATCATTAAAGTATTGAATGAACTCTGAGCACTTACAAGTAATCATACTAATTTTAAAATGGGTTTTCTCTGAACTGTAGCACTTCATACACATTTTATTTTTTGTTCCCTGCATGACCTTACTAAGGAGGTAGGAGAAATTAACCAAACAGCTCAAGGTAACTAAACCATATGGGATAGCTTATAACAAAGATTTTTTTTTTTTTATTCTTCATAACCAAAAATAGAATTATGTACTCCTGCAGCACTGTGCTTTAATTGCCATTCCAAAATTCATCTTCTCTCTATTATCATTGAACTATAGCATCATGTTGCATGGGCAGCTAAAGTGCCTACTTGACTACTGTCAAAAGGACTAAATGTTTATCTTTGTAGGTTGACAAAATAAGGTATTACGACCTATAAACTCTGGGAACTAAGATTTAAGGCCACCTGAGAGGAAATACAGATAATTGAGGTATTTAAATTGGCTACTGATTGGCTGTATTTTGAAGGCCTGCTTTTGTCAAAGGTAAATAGGATTAGGAAGACACAATAGCAGTCTGCCATGGGATTCCATACCAGTTTTAACAAAATTCTAAAGCTAGTTCCAGCTTCCATGGGTTTTCCAAAAAGAATGGGTAATGTGCATACTGAAACTATGACTATACTATCAACAATTCCAAGGGATGCTTTTTAGATTGCAAGACTACCTAGTAATAACATAAAGACCAGTTTGGAAAAGAATAGCAATCTCATGCTTTGGGGTTTAAAGCAGTCCATAACCATCATAACCAGCATTTGGGGAGTAATTCTTTGAGGAGATTAAATTGGCAATTCTTGAACCTTTTTGAGGATATCCAGTTGCTGGTTACAGCTAAAGAAAACATACTGGAGTAGATTAATTGTATGCCTAGCAAAGTGCAATTGTTATTGTGCTTTTAACTGAGGTCTTGATTTCAAACATTTTATGCATAAAGTGATTAACCTCATGCTCTACAAATTCTATCCTATGATTGTTCTTCAATAAAAGGTCAAGCAGTTCTGTATGGGGGGCTTATTTTCATGAAGAATAAGTACTCTATGTACAAAAAATGTACACCTTCATTCTTATCCAGTTTTTCTCAGCTGCGTCATCCCCTAACAAACAACCTTCTGCAAAAGTAATAAAATCACTGTTTTCTCCTTTTAGGTTCCCTCTGCTCAAAGTTCTACTCAAATGATTTAAAGCTCCTAACTGTGATCTTCTCACTTCCTGTATTAATAGCAGATCTCTCCCCAGTGCCGTATTTAGTTTCTAAATGCTCTGGACAAACACAGTTGAGCCTAAAAAATCCTTGACAGAAAAAAACCCAACACCTATAACAGAGAAAATAGAAAGAAGCAAACCCAAGGAAATTAGGGTTATCCCCATTAAAATTAACACAGACTTTACTAGTATATTCTACTAGATCATACTAGTCTAACTTTCAGATGCTGTTGCTATCTCACACATTCAATTACTGTGCATTATAATCAATGTTTTCATGACTTCCACTTGGATACCCAAATTCCACGAGCAGCACCTCAATATAACAAACTGCACCCCAGCTTCCTGTTGTCACAAAACAGATATGACAAAATTTCACATTGCTTGAATACTTTTGAAATGGTGCCATTGATTCATTAGCAGAGCTACCAACATTTAAATTTATTATGCTTAAAACAGGCCATGGCTATTTCATATGTAATAGTTTCAAAAACATTTCATTCTTTCAATACAGAAGGTTACATTAATGTGTTAAACATAAATGCCAAAAGTAACTCATTGAGAACATCTCAGTGTAAAAGGAAATATTCAGTTTACTTCTATTAGGTTCTAGTCTGTACCTCAAAAAGACACTGTAGTAATAAGCATCCTAAAAATGTCACAAAATGGAGAGATGGCTTTCAGGTGTGTTACAAATGAAGTCAGGTGCATTACCAGTGAAAGTCTTCTGGTAGAGGATTGGATCTGTGCTTTCAGTCAAGCAGACCTCCCACAAACTTCAGAAAGGCAATTTATTTACATAAAAACTGCAGGGTAAGGCCCTTTAATTCTTAAGTATGAGTCAGCTTTTATGTTTCACATTAAAATGAAGATTTTTATAATCAGAAAAGAAAGGAAAACCAGTTTGAGGTGCTACTTAGACCGTTAGCCCACATGCCTTGATCCTGCAGATCATAACAAACCAAAACTGTCATTAGCTTTACTCAGTTCTGTGTGCAGCAGGATCACAGATCATGGATCCTTAAATATGCAGCCTGTATAACTTATGTAACCGAACACGAAAACACACAATTGAAATATCAGAAGTTCTACACAGCAAAAGCTTGGGGAAGACAGAATTCGGATTATGTGTGCCTTGTTGTGTTTTTAACTTAATTCAAAGTGACTGAGGTACAAATTATGGCTTGGATCCTGCACCCTGAAGCAGGGAGGGTGAAAGCTGCGCCTGCGTCAGGTCCCACTGCCTCCAGAGCACTGGCACAGAGCATAACGCAGGATCGGGGCCTGCGAGGCTTTGTGGGTTCATTCAAACATCCTCGTAAGGTTACTAAACTGCAACAGAGCTGATTGAGTAGAGCCCACTGTAGAATACACACTGCAGTGTTTTATGAGCACATAATCACCTCGTATTTTGGAAGTTTGCTTTTGGCATACCTTTGTATCTTAAAAAAAAAAACAAAGCTGGTATTTCGTGTACAATAGACTTCTGCAGTAACATGCATTCATAAGCAAGAGCTGCTGCAAGCAACCAAAAGCTTTCCTATACAAATATTTACTTTGTTGAGAACATTTCAACCTGAGAGCTTAGGCAGGCAAATATAGCCTACTGAAATCTTCTTCAAATGACATATTCCTATACACTAAGTAGATCTATTTCCAAGTAGATCTATCAGATTTATTTCCAGGTAGACCTATTAGAATATAATACTGTCTTCAGGTAATATCAAGCCAAAGAAGAGAAATAATGGAGATTAGGCAAAAAATAATTTCACTTCATCTTATGTTTCTTGTTTTTTCAAATCTTTCATAAAATAAAAATCTATCACACTAAACACAGATCTTTGGCCCTATCAAATGACTTAAACATGAAGAACCATGTTGACTGTAGCCTTACTTAAAAGTCTTAGAATGTCAGACCTTCTAATAATATTTTAATGTATCTTGATTGTTTGCATTATCTTTTTACTTAAGTGACAAAAATTGGAAATCGCTGTATTGAATGCTTGGAGTTTCACAAAATGCCAAATTATTATTGTCCATAAATAAAAGGAGTTCAACTCAACCCTGGGAAGCAGGTATGCACTCATCACTGATGCTCTGTTAAACTACAGAATAACTTGAGTTAATAGGCCTGAACCTGTTTTGTTTCAGGATGGCAAAAAACTCCTATATATATATTTATATATAAAATAGAATTATGTTAAAACTATTTCAAAGATCTCTGAGCCTTTAAGTCATAGGGGCTCATCCTTCTTCCCTTGAACTCTGAAGCAGTTTTGACACTTGCTGTAGCTGAAAGCCAAACAGAATTAGAAACATGGTATCTCAGATCAGGAAAGCTGTGTGTTTCACAAGGACTAGCTCTGCACACAAACTTAAGGGCTTGTCTTGGTTGTTTCTATTGCTTTCTTCTTCCCAAAACACAAAAAAGAAATGAGAATGTGCCGGGAGTTTACCATAACCTAAATTTCAAATCAATTGGTATCTGGTTAATAAAAGGAAAGTGAAGTCCATTTACTCCTAATAATGTAAATTGCACTACTTAAGAATTCTAATTTTGAAGCTCCTAATCAAAACAAATAAGCAAACAAAACTTGTAGTAAAGCCAACAGAATTCACATAGAAGTTAAAGATAACAGCAGAGGACCATAATGTATCATCACCTTTTGGTTTTCTCTTCATTACAAATGCATGATTTTCATATTTCAGAGTTAGTCAGAAGTACCAAATAGTTTGTACTGGTTTACTGGTGCATTTAAGAGCACCACTGAAAGCTCTGTTGCAGAAAACAGATACAAAACAAAACACACAGGGATGTCTTATGCTTTCTATTCAAAGAAGATTCCCAGTTAAGGACCTGACCAAAACATGAAAACCAATTCCAAACAAATTTGGCAACTTGTGGTATTCATGCTGTCCCACTAAGTTTAGTGTCACACAATCATAATCTTCAGTACTAATGATAAACAGTCATCCTGAAACTATATCCAGTCCTTCACAAATAATTGAAGTCCTGCACTCAGTAATCAGTGCACTGTCTTTTATTTCTGGCATGTGCCTCGTTCTTAAAAGAAAAAAAAAAAAAGGAAAGAAAGGCACGGAGGATGAGAAGAATGAAGAGGGGAAGTAGATGTATACAATTTTAAATTTCTAATTACTTATGTTATCTGTACTAGCACCAACTGATTTGCTTTCCTGCCCACAATCTTGTTCGTAGTTAGGGATCCAAGTGTGAACTTAGGATTTGGCCTTGAATGCTGAAATCAAGATTTCTATGAATTTACTGACCATCCCAACTCTGCAGCAGGAAAAAAAAAAGCATCCACTAGATCTGTCTTTTCATCCCAAAGTCCTTATACAACCACTGCAGTTCTCAAGTAAAAGGTTTATTGGTATCAGATTGCTGCCCTCCTGCTCCTTCCTCCTCCCCGCCCCCAACCCAACGCAGTTTTTATTATTTCCATAGAAAATAAAAATACCGCCCTTACCTTACAAATCTGAAAATAATCTGAAGTGAGCGTCTCCTGGATCTCCTCTCTGGGTGTCCCTGCAGCTCCTGCAGTCCCTCCTGGGTGCACGGAGCCACCACCAGCCCCACTTCCACTGCCACTGCCACCACCACTGCTTCCACCGGGGGATGAGGCAGTTAAACCATCCAAAACTTTGCGAAAATTAAATTTCTTCATTTTGGAAAAATCTTTCGGGAGGTTTTGGGGGGCAGAAAGGATGTGTCGTAACACATTCAGCTACATGTAGAGACCAGGAAAGTCTTTAATGGTCCTCTGAGTGAGGCAGCACTTTAAGTCTCTTGTACCAAACAGGATGTCAATATTAGGTATAATTGATTGAAAAATACAAAGGCTTCATTTTGTCAGACGTGAAAGCTACTTGGAAAGGTCCTTTTAAAAAATAAATTAAAAAAAAAAATCCACAAGCAGGACTAAGATTTATGTTCAAAAAAGGAACAATGGAACAAGCGCCATCGGGTTCGCTCACAAAATCCACATTTAGCAGTGGTCAAACAGAAAAGTAAATAAAAAATTCAAGCCGGCATCCAAAACAGCGGGATCCATCCCTCTATCTTATCTGCCTAAGATTTGCCTTCGGCACTTGATTATTTCAACAAAACTGCCAAAATTCGTCTACATTGAATCTCCCCTTCCCCTCAAGACCCCTTTCAGCTGGGGGAACCTTCGCCCCCAGGGTTTCGGAGGAGCGGATCCCCGTTTCCCAGCCGCTGCCGCGACTCCCGCTCTCTGCTTCCCTGCCCACCCCAGCAAACGCCGGGAGCCGCTGCCGCGCTCGGTGCTCCTTTCTCCTCCCGGGCTCCGGGCCGGGGGTTGCGCGGCCGCCCCGCGCCGGGATGCGGGATGCGGGCAGAGAGCCCCCTCGCTTTCCTCGCCGCCCCGGCCGCTGCTCCGTGAGGACCGAGCGATGGCAAAGAGCGACCCCCTACACCAGCCCGGCCGTCCCGGGCCGATCACCCGTCCCGTCCCTGTGGGGACGGACCCCTCGCCCGTCCCGATCACCGAGCCTGTGCCGCTGCCGTGCTGCCCCCCGGGGCCGCTCCGGGGGGACCGGGCTCCCTTTGGCGCCGGGGGGACCCGTGGCGGGGAGGTGCGAGTGCGGAGCGGAGCGGAGCGGAGCGGAGCGGAGCAGAACGGGGCAGGTGAGCGGGGAGCGGAGGGCGGCGGCGGCTCCCGCCCGCCCGGCTCGCTCGCAGCCGTTCTCCGAGGTACTGAAATCTCCGCCGGCGTCAGCCGCAGCTCCTCCTCCTCCTCCCTCCCTCCCCCGTCCTCACGCCCCGCCCGCCGCACCAGGGCGCAGCCGGCACGAGCCCCCCCTCCCCTCCGCTCCCGGCTCCGCGCTGCGGGGGGACCAGGGGCGGGGAAGGGCGGGGAAATGCCAGTGATTGACAGCACCGGCTCGGGTTTCGATTGGCTGCTGAGTTCTGGTGGGTGGACGAGATTGATGGATAGGGGAGGAGGGGCGGGGACTGTGCCCGGCGCCTCGTCGGCCCAAGGCTCCAGGTGGGGGGCAAGCGGTTGTCTGGCGGCCGCCGCCATCCTTGGCATCTGATTGGCGCGCTGTGAGGATGGGCACCTCCTTCCACCAATAGGAAAGGCTACATAGCGACTTTGCTCCGTGACGCCCCGCCCCATTCCAGCGGGGGGCGGGGCCGGGGGGCGGGATCATGCGTGGAGGCCCCGCCCCACTGCGGCGGGAGCGGCGGTGGCTGAGGGGGAACGGCGCCGAGGGGAGCGGGGCTGGCAGGGGCATGGGGGGCCGGTCAGGGAACGGGGCTGAAGTTGGTTTCGCAGCCTAAGCCGCGTACGGGAGGGCGAATCGACCCAAACTGGGTCATGAAGCTGTGCCACGGGAGTTTTATTGGTTGGATATGAGGAAAAGGTTCTTCGCCCAGAGAGTGGCTAGACACTGAAAAGGGCTCGCCAGGGAAGTGGTCACAGTACCCAGTCTGACAGTTCAAGTAGCGTTTGGACAACGCTCTCAGGCACATGCTTGGGGCTGCCCTGTGCAGGGCCAAGGGTTGGGCTCAGTGGTCCTTGTGGGTCCCTTCCAGCTCGGGGTATTCTGTGGTTCTGTGAAGATGTCACGGGAGGTGACGGTCCCGGTGGTGGCGGAGCTCCCCCGTCGCTCAGGGAGCTCCATTGCCCGGCTGGCACAGAGCGGTCTGTGCGGGTCGGTGCTCAGCCTGGGTACTGATACCACCGGCCTCCTCGGGCACTAATCCCGTGTTCATTCCCCGGGGGAATACAGTGACCCAGGGCTGCCCCTCCGGGCGCCTCGTGGTTCAGAGGTTTCCCAGGGCTCGCTCCAAAGCGTGGAACAGCTCTCGGGCCTCCGAAGCGCCGTCCGGCACAGGTGGTGGTACACAAACCTCTATAAAAAGGTTCTTCAGGTCGGGAGCAAAGGAGGCAGCTATTAAAAGTGACTCATGGCACAGCGCTGTCAACGTGGTTGAAGCCGGGAACTGACTAAAATGGTGTAAGGAGCAAAACTTGTTCTGTACGGGAATAAATAACACCTGGGCAAAGTGTTGCACGTTGGTCACATTTGAGGTGTGCACACTGATCACCTCATTTTGCAGATGCTTCAGGGGTGCTTAGGACAGTTCTGTAGGACGCGCACTGTAACACCTAATGTGGGGTTTGTAAATCTTACAGTTCCGTGAAGCAAGGTAATAGTGTTTACTTTGGTTTCTTACACTGAGATCCATATATATTTTGTTTTCACTTCAGCTCATCCCTGTGTGTTCACAGGTACTCCCCATCTGAACGATAAAAAGATTGCAGTGAAGTTCAAAGAATAACTGTAGCTTCGCTTTTGCCCTTAGGAAAAATAAAGGATACAGTGCTGATGAAACTGGAAAGGTTGATAAGTTTCTGTAGCCAGAAAAAAAAAAAAAAAAAAAAAAAAAAAAAAAAAAAAAAAAAAAAAAAAAAAAGGAGCATATCTTTGTATGGGAAACAAAATATATGAGGACTATGGCAAGGAGACAGAAATGAAAAAGAGGAAGGAACTGAGTAAGCAAATCTGTAAAAATGTAAGTACAGAGTTTTGGAGAATAACGAAAAGTCAAAACCCAGTTGAAGCTGTTTGAAGAATGTCATGTCCTACTGATATTACGTTCACCACAGGCAATGGAAGTGGAAAAAAAAGGCTAACAAAACCCAAAAGAAAGATAACAACATGAATTGTAAATAGAAAAGGGAAAGATAAAAATGAGATTATTAGAATGAAGAAAATGTCACAGACTTGCAAAAAAGAGAAGACACTAGGAGTCAAGGGGTACTAGAGGAAGAAAATCTGATAACATAATGGTTCCACAGTTCTAGGGAGGACAGAGATAAGACAGTTTTAAGAGAAGAAAGGGAAGGATGAAAATTAGAAGAATGATAAAAAGCATTTGGAAGTAGAATAAGATGCATGCATTTTTTGAATACCAACATTTGTCTTTCAGAGAATCAGTATGAAGAGCTGAGTATTGATGATTAGATATTTCCTCAGAGTATCCAAAAAGGCAGGCAAGGATCCTCATACTGCCAATGTGTTGTTAGGAAAACTGACTTGTAAGAAGCAAAATCAAAAGAACAAAAACATACTGGCCAACAAAACATAATCAATTCTGTTTAAAAATACCAACTGAGGAAAATACTTTGACTCACTACTGGTACATGTAAGGGATGCAGGTCCCTTTTGAAAATTTTGCTCTAAGCTGGACACAAATCCAGAAAAAGAGAGAGAATGATGGAAATTAGTTGTGGTGCAGAGGGGGACAGGACAGTCCAGGACATAGGCAAGCTCAGTAACACTGATGACAGGCACAGAAAGAAGCCCCACTGAATGACCTGGCTGGGGAGGAGTTCTGATGTATTACCAAAACCAACCAACCAAACAAACAAAACCCACCCACCCCACCCCCCCCCGCAAAAACAAACAAACAAACAAACAAAAAAACCCACCCCATAAATACCAAACAACCACCAACCCAAAAAACAAACAAACAAAACAAACAAAACAAACAAAAATAAAAGGGACCAATTCGGTTTTGACACAGTAAAAATAATTTATTTTGTTTTTAGTGGAGAATCAAGCAGTAGACAGATGAGGCATCCACTTGCTGGCTTTTGCTTGTTTAGATGGTACTGATGTTTCACAGGACACTTCTGAGACTGCATAGTTTTGCCACCAAGAGTTTTAATAAAAGTTGGTAAAATTATGAAAGTGTGGAAAGATTTTAGATGTTAAATTTATATAAACCAAGTTAAATAAGACATCCTAATGCATTGTGGAAAATCTGTATCTGAATCTGTATTTTAGATAGTAGGGGGGAAATGTATTCTTCTGGATAGTATCTTTTATATTTATCAGTCATCTTGTTCTGCAAGGTCAAACAGAAACCAAACGAAATGTTAAAAGGACAACAGTTTGCTACAAAGATTTTGCTGAGAAAGAGCATCTTTAACATTCTACACCATAAAAATTCATATGAATTCTCATTTTGATTTTTGCTTAAGTAAGCTTGTGATTATGTGTAGCAATATAACAAGACTGGTCAGAATCAAATCTAGCAGAGGAGAGCAATGTTAATTCAGTGTTATCTAACCTCAGTCTGATTCAAGAACTGACCAAGAAAATGAAGAATCAGAAAGATGTGCTTAGATCGGCTGACCAGAAAGTGATAGCAGTAGAGATTGTATATGTTTTGCACATGACTGATCATTTAAGTTCTGTTCAGTTCTCTTTGGAGTTTTTTGCTTACCTCATCTGTCTTTCTTGGCTTATTTTTTTATAGCAAATCCTGCTTCAGCCCATGCACTAGAATTTCCTGAATTTTTTAAGCTACAAACATATTTTAATTTCAGGTTATACTGTTGGTAATTAAAAAAAAAAAAAAAAGACATGAAGAAGTGTGCAATAAGGGTTGGTTTCACAGCTCACACTTTTAAAATGATTCATACAACTCCTTTAGACAATATACGAATTAGTAGTTAAAATCAATGACCCTTGAGAGAAATCATTGCATGCCCATCAGTGGTTGACTAGACCACAGCCTTGCAACTATACCCTGCAAAAGAACCTCTGTGCTTATACAGAACTGAAGAAAAAGGATGTAATCAGATACCAGAAACACATTTATGCCAGAGCAGGCAAAACCGTGACTTTCCGTAGTTACCCATTCCTCATTACTCTGCGGGACATTTGCCAATATTGCCCATGTTCCTGTGTAATTCCAGAACATCGAATGGCAGCAAGCATAGTGTTCCTGCCTGCAGAGCCCCACTAAAAATATCCCCAGTCAGTGCTGAGTATCTGGTTAGAACAGCTTGCTGAACTCTATCAATTAGCCAGATCTTAATCTATTTAATGTGTTTTATTAAGGCTATATAATGCTAATGTTTTAATCAAAATGTCAAGCAGTACTAAATCAGATTCATTAGGAAGGTCCAAGTCTATCACATCCATGTGGTTACCTCGATCAAACAAACCTGTAATCTCATAAAAAATTGAAGTCAGGCCTGCTTGTCAAGACTTGTTTCCACAAAGCCATGTGGGTTTGCTTTCATTATATTCCTACCTTTAACTCCTTATTGATTCAATCACACATAGCATGGCTGCTTTAATTCACATAACATCACTGTATTGTCTAGGATTACCTAGAATGCCAGGTCTATTATTACCTTGGTCATTCTGCTTGGTTCTTGGAATAACACGAGGTTTCCTTTGGCCCTTCGAATTACTAGCTGTAAAGAGAGCTGTTAAAAAATAACATTAGAAGGCTGGAAGCCTCCTATTCTGTTAGGATCTTTCAATACTCAGGTGCCACAGAGACTGCTGATTGAAAAACAGCAGTGCCGTTTTCATCCTACATAGGTGTCAATGGATAGAAAGCTAATTCATCATTCTCATGTAATATTAATACATAATACTTTTTTTCCCCTTCACAAGTACAGGATAGAAATATTTACCATAAAAATTAGATCTTTTATGCATGCTCAGAGACCAGATTTCTTAATAAAGAAGCTGTGGGATGTGTCTGTACAAAACTGAGAATGTAATTTTGTAATAAGAACTCCATTTTACACAGTAGGCCAAGT